AAATCCAAGCCTACCCCAAACCCGAATTCAAGTGGTACTACGCCCTAAACTCCTCCCCTCTGCTCTCCTCCTCCGAAGGCCACTACATCATCAACACAAGCGTCGACGACAACGACATCTACACGAGCATTCTTAAAATATCCAACATAAAACCGGCCGACTACGGCATCTACAACTGCCAGGTCATCAACAACCTGGGCAGCATCGAGGCGAAAATTCGCCTGCAGCCCAAGGGAGCCCCAGAGAAACCCACCCAGGTGGCGTCGATTTACACCGGTCCCAACTTCGTCACGCTAAATTGGGAGCCGGGATTCAACGGGGGAATTTTCAACACCAAGTACTTTGTGTCGTACAAGAAGGCGACCGGCGGCGACGATAACGCGGATAAGTCGGTGGAGGGATGCGGGACCGTGTCGCGCTCGACGGACTGGTCCGAAGTCGATTGTCAGCAGAATATTCCGTGTAATGTTACGCATCTCGATCAACATCAAATTTATAATTTTAAGGTGAGTCAGAGAAACGTCCCTTGAAATTTCCTTCGGGGTGTTTTCATTTAGCCTCTTTCGCCCTTCCCACTGATTGCGCTTTCCTCGCATTTTTCGTCACACCTTTTCCATCACGCATCCTTATAACCACGAACTGATGGACTGCTGATCAAACAGTTGCATAGAGGTAGAAATGGCCCTAGAATGGGCGCCGCCATGATGTGCACGTTTTAGTTATTTTCTAGGGGAATTTTCCTAGTGCTCTAGTTTTGAAAGGATTGCAGCCTTGGAAAATGACATGTGTCACAGTAATTTATTTAGGAAACGTGAGGTTAATGCTTGTTTATTAGTTGATTTGAATTTCGCGCCAAGTGAGTGCACATCATGGCGGCCTCCATGTAGGTGTCATTTGTTAATTCGGCATTAGCAGTCCATAAGTTCGTGCTTGAACAATCAAAGTTGAATGGCGGTCGAGTCGCCTTTGGAAGTTTGGAAGTTAAGTACGCCATGGACCAAAGGTGACTAGACAGAAACTAATTTTTAATCGCATAGTACCTCCCTAACGCTTTTTTCACTATCATTTTATATGCCCTTATTCTTCCTCCCTCGTTAACGTCTCCCTTCTTTCACACTTCTCTCCCAAACTGGCTTACATTTCGTTCACACCAATCCTTAACCTTCCCCACGTCTTCTTCCTCGAGGAATTCTTTCTGTGCTTTTCTCACGACGGTTTCCTTTATTCACTGTTTCTTCATGTCTCTCTCGGGCACGTTTCCTTCATGTCCGATTTGTCTTTTCCCACCCCTTTACGTTTCCTGTCTCTTTTACACCACCTTCACACGTATTTGACGTCTCCTTCACCTCCTTCACGCTTCCTTTCGTCTTCTTATGCAGACCTTGTTTCCTTTTCACTTTTCTAATGCCTCCTCCTTTAACGCCTCCGTGTTTTTCACACTCTCATTCTTTCACTTCTTCGACCTTTTAAATCTTTCTCTTTTCCGTACCCCTCGACCATTTAAGCATCTTTTATCTCTCTGCCTTTCACATCCGATATCATGATTTCTTCATTCGATCACCATACTCCTTTCACTTTTTCTTCGACTCATTTTTTCGCAATTGCCTCGCGCCTCGGGATTGTTCAGTTTTTGTTTCTCACTCTCTTCCTTAGCACGTTCTCCCTTTATGCCTCTTTCTTTTATGACCAATAAAACCTCATTCGTGTCTTGGCGCTTTCCTTTCGTTTTCTTCAAACGCTTTTGATCGGTGCGCGACGTTTCGGCGGCGAGGCGTTTGGGTGGACGTGACGTTTCGGCAGACCAAGCCAGGGCCGTATGTAGGCGGTGGCGAGATGGGCCCCCTCCTAGGGCGCAGCTGCCGGGGAGGCGCAAAACTTTCATTTTACATTAGTGCATTAGGAAAAAAATTCAGGTTATTAAAACAAATGTTATTCCAGATTGTTACCTAATACTGTACGTACTGTGACTGTGAATAGCTGGGTCGTTACAAAGTGATATACCTTCATCTCTGCCCTTCCCCCCTTTTGCCTCCTTATGGTAATGTAATATATACAGTGTGTCCAATATAAGAAGGAAAAGCAAACAAGTCAAATGATATTTTAAAAATTTGTAAATTCCGATCAGTTCCGAAAAAAAAACGAAATGAATCATATTCGGTTTTATTTTTTGCCGGCCCTGTTTGAAAAGATATCAAAAAACAAATAACACTTCCTCATAGGAACTTTTTAATCTGTACAATTGGCGTCTTTGAGAAACCATCAATAACGATGTATGGCACAATAAGATTTTTTATCACCTATATCATTAAAGGAACCATCAATGAATTATTTTGATATTTTGTCAACGCCTACTACAGTAAAAAAATAAAATTTAGCTCAGAAAAATGGCTGGTTACTAAATTTTTAACATTTTTGGTTTAGTAGGCGTTGACAAAATGTCAAAATGATTTGTTCTTCTAAATGACATATTGTACCATACATAACTGTATTCGTATTAAAAAATGCTACTCAATACATTATATACTCTTTTTCCGGTCCATATAAAAATATGAAGTTGATGATGGTTTGTCAAAGACGAAACGTCGCAGCGAAAATCTTGTAAAATAGTGAGCTTAAAAAGTTACTTTTGGTTTTTTTTAATATCTTCGGAACTGATCGGAATTTCCGCATTTTTAAAACATCGTTTTATTAAGCCGTAAAATGCGCAACTCTTTCTAATTTAACCGACTGTGTACTTCTTATGGTTTCCGTTGTGTCCATGATGTTCATTCTTATCTTGGACACACTGTATTTTGTAATCTTTTCTCCATGTTTTAAAGAAGTGATATTCTCGAATCAAAAAGTTTCAAACCTTGGAAAATTTTCGGCGTTTTTGTTGGGGGGTATTTAATACCCCCACGCGCAGGTGTGGGGGGTGCAAACTTGAAGTGCCGCCAAGGGCACGGTCATATCTAGTTACGGCCCTGGACGAAGCGTCACATCCTCCTGATTTCCCCTATGACGCGTTTTTTTACCACTTTGTGTCTAGGCTTGCTTGCTCTACGCTTCCTTCACGTCACCGTTTTTCACATTTCTTTTCCTTCACATATCACTTCATGATTTTCTCATAGAACCTCCTTCCATGCCCCCTTTCTTACAGAAATACTTTTTTCCTCAACTCACTTTCGCAATTCCTTCCCTCGTCTATTACCTTCAACTTTTTTCCCCTAGCTCTTCATTCTTTTCCTTTATATTCACATCTCACATTTTAGTCTTTTTTTATTCTTTTGAACAATTCTTCACAACTTTCTTCATTCTTTTCCTTTATATTCACATCTCACATTTTAGTCTTTTTTTTTTCTTTTGAACAATTCTTCACAACTTTCTTCATTCTTTTCTTTTATATTCACATCTCACATTTTAGTCTTTTTTTATTCTTTTGAACAATTCTTCACAACTTTCTTCATTCTTTTCCTTTATATTCACATCTCACATTTTAGTCTTTTTTTATTCTTTTGAACAATTCTTTACAACTTTCTTCATTCTTTTCCTTTATATTCACATCTCACATTTTAGTCTTTTTTTTTTCTTTTGAACAATTCTTCACAACTTTCTTCATTCTTTTCCTTTATATTCACATCTCACATTTTAGTCTTTTTTTATTCTTTTGAATAATTCTTCACAACTTGTTCAATCTAATTCATTTCAATTGCAGGTAAAAGCTCTGAACATTAAAGGAAACAGTGAAGATTCTCAAGAGATAAGTATTACAACGAGAGTCGACAAAATTCCTCTACCGCTACGCGTGGCTTACGATCCTTCCTCTCACCGTCTCTCTGTGAACATTCCGGTCACTTGCCTTCCACTGATGGCAGTAGTGGAGACGATAAGCAACGAACATCTACCTTTGACCAACTGGCAGGTGGTCGACACCTTCGCCCTGCAAGTTTCTGGGTTGTCTCCCACGTACAAGGAGGCGATCTTACATCAGATGACTTCGAGAAATTACAAAGGAATGGGTCGCTCGCTTGTCGATGAGGAACCCATCGGAATCAATGATGATTTCAACACGAGAGTTCGCGTAAAATTCTGTTTGCGCACCCATAACGAACACTGTGGACTGCCTTTGGAAGCGGAATGTAAGTTCTTCAGTTTTTAATTGTTGAACAACCGAATGACCCCATTCTTACAGTAGGTTCGGCTTATATAAAAGAAGCTTCGGCCGTAACCACCTCGACCTTCATCGCAATTATCGTCTCGTGCATCGTAGGTATCCTGTTCGTAGTGGTATTGTTCATGTTCTGCCGGTGCAAACGCAACCAGTCGAAGAAATCGCAATCTAAAGATTACGAAATGGACTCGGTGCGTCCAACCATTATGGCCCAACAGAACCAAGCGCCTCCCCCCTATTACCCATCGAACGGCATGGAAAACAAGGCTCTCGAACACTCCTTGGATTTGGCATTGGCAATGGAGGATCCGAAGAATTCCGTTTACGCATCCCAAAACGGTTACGGTTACATACCGAACCCCAACATCCAAACCCATCAGGTCATCAACAATGGCGAATGTAACTAATCGTCCTCAATCTCGAACGAGTTACCCATTCATTTCATTCTAGGGGCGAACGTCGGTTACATGGACTCGAATTACTCCAACTCGAACAACGGCGGAAGCGTCAACTCCCAGGACTCCCTGTGGCAGATGAAGATGGCGGCCGCGGCGAACAACTCGGCGACTCAGCTACAAAACGCTCACTTAGATAGGCAAAATTCGTACGGTTACGATCCGATTACGCACGGGGGGTACGGCGCCGTCGACGATTACGCACCGTATCCGCATATCACCACGCAAAGTAATCACGGCGATGATTACATGAGGAGTAGTAATAATCCGTCTCGACAGGAATATTGTAACGATCCTTACGCCGCAGTTCATAAACCGAAGAAACGAGTCGATCAACATATTGGTAAGTGGCAACTCACAGGACGCTTTTCCTTCAAACACTTTTGTAGAAAAGAATTCTTCTTATCCTTGAAATTCATACAAAGAAATCTGCTAGGATATCTTCTTTAAAACCGTCCTAGAGAAATTAAATATTTTCTTAGAGATCTTAGAAATCTTGAAAGTCATTTTTTTGAATCATTCCTTTTCTTGTGGAATATTTTTTAGGCATATTAGAATCGATTTAAAGCGACTGCCAAAATTTAAAAAATATAATCTTCAAGAATAACATGGAAATGGAGTGTGTATAGTATTTTACTACAAGGAAGTAAACTCCAAAGATAGTAAAAGAATAACACATTGCTGGCAAGGTTGACGCATGTCCTGTGTACTATCATAATTGACGTAGATTAAGGAAGTTAATATCTGTGATATAAATAGCATGTAAACGCTTACAATAAACATTATCATTATCTTCGGTAACGTACCGGGTTGGAATATAAGACAGCAGGGGCGGACTGGCCCGGGGGGGGGGCGATTGCCACCTGGCCTGTACGTCATAATGGCCCGTTGGAAATTTATAAGTATGTGCTGTATTTAGTTTCTTGCACTATTAATAAATTATTAACACGTTTCTCTAATTGGGGTTGATGTTAGGTTGTTAAAAAATTTAAAAATTCTGTTTTAATTGAAGTGTTTTACAATGAATTTATCATTTTTTGTCGTAGCATGAAAGTGATGAAATACAATGATAGGCGACGCGCCTCGTTTGGATTGTATATTTTGTTACTTTTAATTATCAGCTGCAATTTAAAAAAAAAACTGTATTGTAATTGATTTCCGAAAAAGGAGTGCCTTAAAATGCAAAAAATGTTTTTGTGGTGCATCGCAGAGCTACCCCCCCCCCCGCCACCATCATTACTACACTAATACTTTAATGACCCGTAACCTATGCAATTCCACCTGGCCCGCAGTTACCTAGTCCGCCCTTGAGTATGATCATCCGATACTCAATATGAGAGATAAACCCCTTAGATGTCTACCTAGCATCAAAATTATAGGAGTAATCTTTGACCGGAAACTTTACTTCTGAGAACACATTGAGGCATTAGAAAATAATTGCAAAAAAAGCTAATATAGTCAGATGTGCTTCCGAAATTTATGGACATTTTTAGAAATATTAAACTTGAACTTTAGTCGATATCTTGCACAGAACAAATAACGCTCAGAAATGTACAGTGTTAAAGATTAGTAGGTTAAAATATGTGGCGGAATAG